CTAGCAGAATGCTTATACTCAAGGAGCAGCGGGTGGGGTCTCAAGATATGACTTAGGGTTTCGGGAGTGCGTGAGCACCGTAGAACGTTAAAAGTTTTCAGACGTTTCATCAATTAATGCAGTTGTCATCTTCAGGATAAATACTTTACGTCCGCCCACTACGTGATCTACGAGTATAAAAGAAGCTCTTAACAATGTATATGACAACAACAATATCTGCCGAAATGTTACAAAACCAACATTTTAAGCGAAGAACTCAGAAGGCTGAAGTCACAGTGTCGGGTAGAAATTTACCGACTTCTCGGAGGAACGTACTGCCTCCATCTGCATAGTCAAGGCAAGCAACAAACAGATATGATGTGGTCCACAACTGTTCTCGGTGTATCTTTTGAGATGTAAGTATGAACGTGTCTCAGGGCCGGCCCGGTTTAATACACGAACAGGACTACTCTTTTCTGGGGTGTGACGACGTGTGGTGTTGTAGATACATAACCAACAATGTGTTCATACATAAATTCCAATCTACACGGTTTGAAGAGAGAACAATTTTCATGATGAGCGCTATGAGAATTCAAATTCCACATACTTCGGTGTATGTCAGGTGGCTGCTGTCTGTTCTCACCTCAGCTGCACCCTCACACTCCAAAATGAGCACGAATATAAGCCTGTAGTAGCCCTCCTGTCAGCCGCCTCGTGATGAGGCCAGTTACGCCCCGGAAATTGAAAAGAGAATTAGTTTCCATCTAAGGCAAGCGTCAGAACACAACAGAAAATTTGTTTCGGTTTAAAATAGAAGAGGCTCAAATAAGATGGCTGCCGTTCACAGTGACCGCGCAGTCTAAGGCATGAACTATCTTTGCCCGCTCTAACTCTGGGATCGTGGATTCGAATCCCACTCATGGCATGGATGTATGTGTTTGTGTGCTGTTCTGTGTGTAGGTAGCGGCCCTGCGACAGGCTGACCCTACGTCCAGGTAGTCCTAACAACTGTGTATAGGATTATGAAGCTGAAAGAGGGCCCAAACCCAACAAAATGCTGTAGAGCCATTGATGAATAAATGAAGGTAAGATGGCTGCTAGTTTGTTTTGTTGTTCACGACATGTTTTCATTAATGTCCAGGAGAGGGACATCTTCAGTCATAAGATTATGTGTACAGCTGTACATTAGATAAATCTGTGCATAGTATGCTATTATTGCTAGAGCATTCTTTCTATACACTGAGTACTCAAAATTAATTAAAAAAGGCTGTACCCAAACCACATAATGGGGAGCTTCATAATTTCTACTCTTCTTCAAATATAATTAGAGCGATCAACTCAATAGGATGAGGTGGGCAGAGCATGTAGCACGAATGAGGAAGACGAGGAATGCACAGGGCATATTAGTGGGGAAGCCAGAAGGAAAGAGACCATAAGGAAGAATAAAATTTGGGTGGATAGGCAATATTAAAATAGATCTCAGAGAAATAGGAGGGGATGGTATGGATTGGATCGATGTGGCTCATGATAGGACCAGTGGAGGACTCTTATGAACACAGTAGTGAAATTTCGGGTTTCATAAATGTTTGGAAGTTCTTGAGTAGCTGTAAAATTTGCAGGTTCTCAATAAGAACTAAGCTCCATGAGTGAATGGTTGTGCCTGTTCGTCTGAATGTTTCATTTCTTAAATCGGTCCGCTTGCTTGTGTTGGCCTGTGGGCTACGTGAAACAGATAGATACGAAAATGCAGAGTTTTAGTGTATTAAAGCAGATTTTACGTGTAGAAACACTGGGATTTGAATGGCTACAAATTCTCATATAATTTTACTGGGTATCAAATGTAGTAAATCAGATTTATATGTAGGCGTACCACGGTTTGTGACTTATAACTATGAACCTGCTTACAATTTTTGGCGTAGCCCTAATTCTACATGAGATAAGATCTACACAAGAGATGAAGTATAAAGGACAGACAAAGGAAAACGGGTCACCACGCATAACTCACACGGCGCACAAGTCGGCAACACTGGAATTTGCTTACGGTACGAACATCTAGTGGGGACTCGGGAAAGTACAGTGACAACATGCCCTTGCACACTAGTTGTTTGTTTATTGTGCTGGAAGTAAGGTTAGCGCTACGTGTGGTCATCCAAAATCAGTAATGATGCCGGGTAAAGAAGAACAGCGAAGTGTAGTGCGCTTTTTGACCGCTGAAGGAGTAGGAGGACGAGAAATTCATGGTCGCATGTCTGTTATTTACGGCGAACACAGCATGTCACGTTCCCGTGTGCTGGCGTGGCATAAGAGATTCCGAGAGGTATGTGTGTCACTGCAAGATGATGCTCGTCAAGGACAGGCTCATCGTGTCATCACTCCTGATGCTATTGCTGCGTTGAATTGTCATATCCGGGCAAACCGACGGATCACTGTGGAAGAAATTAGTCTTTTGATGGGAATAAGTCACGGTTCCGTACACGCCATTTTGACAAAACACCTGCTGTACCGCAAAATCTGTGCGCAGTTGGTTCCACACCAACTCACGGAGGAACAGAAGACTAAGAGAATGGCTGCATCACTGGGTCACTTGCAACGATACCATGAGGAAGAGTATGCTTTTCTATCCCGTATTGCCGCTGGGGACGAAACTTGGTGCCACCATTTTGAACCCGAGAGAAAACGGCAGGCCCAGCAGTGGAAACACGTGAATTCTCCCACACCGAAGAAATCCGAAGTAGTACAGACAAGTTCCGGTAAAGTGATTATGACGTTCTTCTTCGACTGCAAGGGCCATCTAGGCCTAATTGTCGAAATTCTCGAGCATGGGGCCACAATCAGCGCACAGCGCTATGAAGACACTTTGCAGAAATTGAGACTTGCCATAAAGTGAAAACGCTCTGGAATGCTATCGAATGGCATTATCATTCTTCATGATAATGCGCGCCCCACACTGCCAACTCTGAGAAATACGCTACAGAGATTTGGTTGGAAACTTCTTCAACATTCCCCCTACAGCCCAGATCTCTCCCCTTGTGATTTTCACATTTTTGGAGACCTGAAGAGACATTCATGGACATCGGTTTGCATAGGACGAAGACGTGTGTGGCTGGGTAAAGATGTGGCTCAGTAGACAGCCCACAAGCTTTTTCAAGGATGGCATTGACCGTCTTATCTCCCAGTGGGATAAAATGTATTAACAGTTTTGGAGATTACTTTGGAGGTAAGAAATGATCTTTAATATGTTTTGGCTTCTGACACGTTTTCATTTGACTGCACCTCAGAGATCAGTTGCTATAGATTCTAGGTCACGGACCGGATGATCGAGAAATCGGTGTTCGATTCCTAGTAAGGACGAGACAAATTCTGGTTCTCCATAGGACCCAAAAGGGTTTCTCAGCCCATCTAGTCTTATTTAGGATAGTCATATGGGACTTCTTCCCTGATGGGGTAAAGCTTGGAGCCCACCATTCACCTTCATCTAGTGTGAAGTTTAAAATTTATGGAACTATAGGCTTATCTACTTCCACTCACCAATAAGCTTTCAAAGTGTTGTGCTTAATTAAAGGCCTACACATGAAGAAAACCCCACTTCTTTACATCAAGCAACTGAGAAGTTAACATGGGCCATAGCTTAAATTATTATTGATTCTTTTTAAATTGAATTTTATTTAGACCTTCAATATTTTCAATATGCATAATTGTATTGGTCATTTAGTTACTTATAATTATATCACCGTTTACACTCTCTTGTAAATCGTAGCCTGTGTGCAATTTCTGGTGATATAATTTTATTTTGCTACTGACTTTCCTCACAAGTTTAGAACATATTATTTGTGACTTGTTATGCTTCGCATCCTGTCCACAAAATTTTAAAGGTCAATAAATTCTGGACAACAAGTGGGTCCCTACCACAATCCAGCAACGATTTCTTGGTACTGTGCACAAACGCTAAGCACTGTCAGCCTTGAAACAGCATAGGCCGACAGCTGTCACCGCTGTCCGCCTCGAAACAACACTGGTAGACTGTCAAGTATTGGCCAGACCTTTTCCAGTTTTAGCCTAAGTGTAGTACAGTTGCAAGCACTGATGCACCGCCACAATATTCTTAGCTGCAGTTTCAATCTTCTATATTTTGGGTCGATATAATGATCTAACAACAGTGCTACATTCTTCAACTTGAGTTTTGTGTTATTACATCACATGCAGGAGGGATCAGGATTATTGATTTGCGGTCCCACTGTAACCATAATTCATGGCATTGACTTTATAGCTTGCATCCTGTCGTGTGTATACTCATATTACACTCTTGTTCAGGTTTTCTTGAAAATTGCTTCATAGTTTGCAATTCTTGTACGTCTATAATATAGTTAATTTTACTGCCTCTCAAATTATAGGCCTATCATTGTTATTGACACCCTGTAACAAGTTCTGCCTACAAGTCCTTTCGTAAACATTTTCTGGAAACTAAGTACTGGAACCAGTTATTCACAAGGTGCAGCATTGTCTTGGTGGTTTTGTAGAGCCCGATATGCCATTCCTCCTGTAAGCAGCTCGGATTAGTCTGGAAATGTAATGGGCTTAATGCGGAGCGAGTTTCAGATACTTGTTCTTTTATTTTCTCCCAACACTTGACTTAATAGATTTCGTAGAAAAAGAAAGATGGCTTCCTTACTTTCCCCTCCATTAAGAAAAGAAATATAGCAGACAGTAAGGAAAAGAACAGTGCTGTAGGGTAGGAGGCATAATTAATTCTCTATATAATCCGACAGAGCGGCGCTACCATCGTATGAAAACCTCGCTACAACAAAGTTAAGTGTGTTTCAATTTGTGTGCTTTCCTTGATGACATAAGATTTGACCAATGAGATTTCAAGAGAGGCGGGATTGCTGTGAGAAACGGTCTACTCTGATTGGTCAATATCTGCTAGGCAAGTGTTTGCATGGAGGGGGCCTTCCCCTTACCGCCCGACTCGTTTTGTCCGTAAAGCCATCATGCATGTTTTCGTAGTATGGGAGAAAGTTTTTAGAGTCCTCTAGGAACAGGGCAGGGACGGACGAACCAGGCTCGGGGTCAGAACGTTTATGTAACGCTGCTCTCTAACACAGTGTTCTGGTGACCAAGTGCAACATGTCAGAAGTGTTAAATGAGTGTAGTTGTGTGCGTCCGACACAGAAATGCTAACTGCCAACAAAGTGTGATATGGAAGTATAGGCGAACGGCTCTGCAAATAGAAATGAAACAAATGATTTAAATATAATTCACTGATATTGTAATTACGTCAACCGAAGGTCATTTTTAATCAAAGTCTGTGCAAATAATTTAAAACTAACACAAAAATGTAAACGATATAATCTGACGCTTGTTAGATATTAAAAAAAAATATATATATAAAATGATTTGTCACTGTAGGTTTACAAAACTTTACTTTTGAAGACGAGAGTGCCATCAATTGAAGAACGACTGACAGAGAGGGCAGTGGGCCTCTTACAGCTCATTTAAAGTGGATTTATATGTTTGTCCACTGTCTTCGCAGCGTCAGGTCCTCCGAAATCCACGTGTCTTTTGGTAATCTGTTTTATTCGGTGATATTACGTTGTTAAAAATAAATTGTGAAAAAATTCTTAGGCCTATCCTTATGTCACGTTGGTAAGAACTTAATACACTTCCTTCTGGAAGTAGTCCAGAAAAAGAAACTCCGTAATAAATATAAATGTCGCTATCAGATTTAGTTGTGAAAAAAAATAACAATTGATGGGGCAAAAGTGAAACTAGTCATTAAAGAATACATCTAGACTATGTAATGTCCATAGCGTCCTGAAACAAACCGAACAATTTGTAATCTTACATCCCGGATTGTCCGAACTTCCAGCAGTAACAAGTGCCGCCGTAACAATGAAAAAGCAGAACTAGAAACACGAGTCATGGAGTTACACCGAGATGTCATGGCGGAGGACGAAGACGATCAAGAGATTAATGTAGACACAGACAGCCGTTGCAGTGCCACAGCAGATGACGAGAGTCGCACCAGCAGCTTCGTGGATGGTGGCGTTCATAGCTGTAGCGCTACCGGAAGCGACGGAGGAGGGTCTCTGTTAAGCCCTGGCTCCGAACATAATAACCAGGACACGTCTCCCCCCAACACGTATCATCACCTGCATCGGAGGAGACTGGTGCACCACGACGGGAGGAGCCTGACGCCCTCACCCCCTCCCAGTAGCGCCTCTTCAGCAGGACAAGTTCTGCCGTTCAGTATATCACGACTTCTGGGCGCGGATTTTGAGGCGAACAATAACAGTCTGAACAGTAGTCGACAGGTTGGTATCCCAGAAGACGCTGCGGAAAAAGCATCGCCTTCTTCACTGCTGCATCCCCAAGGACAGATTATCTCGCAGCATGAAGCAATCACATCTCTGTACTCTCATCCGGCGATTGTGCAGTTCAGTGGTACCACAACTTCCGGTGTGCGGACAAGTACTTCTGGCGGTTTGTGTCCTGTATCTACAGGCCTACCAACTGCAGCCCTCGCTGCCGCAGGACTAGTTTATAATACGGCTGCAGGAGTTATACGTGTACCGGCACACAGACCAGGTCCACCCCCGCCCTTAGGGGGCCCAGCTGGGGGTGGTACCACGGCGGTACCTGCTCTAGCTGCCCCGTTCCCGTGGCTAGCCGCCGCCTCCATGGACCCCACGTCGCTGCAGAGGAGCGCTGTTGCTGCTGCCTTCGCATCTCAGGTCGTGAAGGAACGCCTCACAGGTAAGTACGTCAAGTCTGCCTCCCGGAAACGGATTACTTTGTCTAGATGTATGCTGCAGACCCACTGGTGGTTAGTCGTCGGCTTCCGGGTTCCATCCCACAGTTGTAGTGGACAGAGTGCCACTGGGGAAGATATCCACCGAGTACTTCGGTTTCCCTTGCCAGTTGTCATTACACCGACTGCTCCACTCTCATAGTGGCCGGCATACCAAGAAGACTCAGTCTCAGTTCACCTCAAGGATATAGGAAAGGCTACAATAACTTTCTTAAGTGAGTCCTTTGTTTTACAAATGCACATCCATAATGAATTGAACAGAGAACCGGGCTAGGACCTTCGATACCACATGACCTACTCACCAGGTACTTCTGGCTTTCAATGCATTTCTCGAAGCTGATTATCCAGCCTTCGGTTTTGTCTCGTAGATAATGCAAATTAACAGATTCGCACACCCCTGTGGCTGTAACATGTACACACATTCGGAAATCTCTCGTTCACTATACCGCTATGAAAATTTATCGAATTCGAATTGGAACAGTTTTACAAAGGGTAACGTTGACAACACTGAGTAACAGTTCTAGTGCCTAGTTAAAAGGTAAAGCTAAAGTTCTTCTTCTTCTTCTTCCTCCTTGACGGGTTGGACTCTCCGGCATATTCCAATTCAGAATTTATTAATTCTGAAATTATAGACATTTGGCATGACTCCTTGGGTGGGTGATCAGCTCGTTTACGAGGTCGCTACGTACAAAGAACACCTCACGAACACAGAATAAACGCAGTCGTTTCGTGCCTTGAACCGCGCAACCAAAGAGTAATGCTTTTCTGCAATAATTGAGCTGTATGCCATTAAAGCGTAAGCAAGAGTGCAGATGTAGCTTCATGCTTTCTAATAATTCGCCGTTTGTTTGAGTGCGTCGTCAGCTTCATGACTCCCTTCCCCCCGCTCCAGAGGGGTGGAAGGACCCCGTTACCCAGTGAACATGAGGCTGAGTGGGACCCAAGGCAGGTCTGGAACCGGTGGAAAAGAGAAAAATCTCTATCACTACCTGTAATCGAACCTCGGTTCTTCTGGTTTCCATCCAGTAGTCTAGTCACTTACTGACTACACAGGCTCTGATTCTTATGCAAATAGAGTAGCCCTAATAATCCAGTGTTTAACGCGATGGTTAATATTCTACCTGTTTCGCGGTGTGTAGAAATAGTTACTGAGATTTAGGAGTAGGCTCACAAAAAAAAGGCCCAAAATCTTAAGGCATATGAACTTTTCCCCACACATTAAGAGAACAGTTTCGGTGTGCTGGGGAGAACATTTTGAAATAAGCGAGAGACAACAGGCGAAAATTACATATAGAGAATTTCGTTACTTGAACTATTCAGTTTTTTTTTTCGATGATTCTTCAGGGCCCAGGCCTCTTTTCAGTTCCGTAATCATTTTTCACAGACGATAGAATTCCTTGGATGAGGGATCAGCCCGTCGCAAGGCCGCTACCTAAGCACAGGACAACACGAATACGGAATAAACGCATACATACACCAAATATCAGTGCTTTGAGTGGGATTCGAACTCTCGATCCCAGCGTCCGAGAGAGCGAAAACAGTTCACGTCTTAGACGTCGCGGCCACTGTGACCGGCCCACTTTACCTCGGGTGATTAAATAAAGGATAATGAGATTAGAGGATCATGTAGCACACACGTGGAAGCGAAAAATTCATAGAAAATCTTAGTTGAACATGTTGAAGGAAAACGATAGCTGACGATCATATAGTCGATCGGAGGGTGATATTGCAACCGATCTGAAGTCGTGTGAAAGGTTCTGTCTCCAAGGATATACTGCCGTGCAGTACGTTGAGAGTCAGCTGACCTTGTGGAGGAACATGTGTTCTCCTTCAGAATTCGAAGCAGCATGTAGCTCTTCATGACGAATGCTTCATGTCGGTTTCCTGCATGGCTTTTACACTGCGTCATATCCCCAAAGAGAGAATTCTTCATAACCCTCAGATCCTGTATACAAGAAGTAGGATTTAGGAATGTAAACTGAATATAACCGGCTCACGATATGACCATGAACTGGCTATTGGAAGATTTTAATTAATTTATATCCGATCAAGGAATTTTATGGCTACTGAGCAATCATTACTTTCTCAGAAAGAAATTTGCCTTAAAGAATAAGTTAGTTATCTTTAATTAGTTTCTTCTTTAGTTAATTAGTTATTCAATTTCTCTGTCATGAAACCTGCTTTCAGGGTTACCTGTCTCCTGTTTATTTATATATATATCCGCGTCTGTAAAGCCCTTCAGAAACAATTTTACTAATTATCTAAATTTGTCTCAACGTATAATTTGATTATTTTTTTACGGTTGAACAGAACATATTAGCCCTCAAAAGCAATGAATTCATAAAATTCAGAATGTCAAAAATAGAAGACTTACAATACAATACAATACAATACAATACTTATAAACATTAAACATCATAGTTGTCAAGTGGGCGGCAATAGAAATTTCGAACTGTAAAACGAACTACAAAGATCTAATTATCCTTGTGGAACAATTATATGCATAAACTTCAACACAAGTGAAAGCCAGAAAATCCCAATATTCTACCAATTTTAGCAGTGCCAGTTCTCGTGTATGGCGCTGTATGCTGTATCGCAACTGAAAAACGGTTCCAGCAGATATCGAATTCTCTGAAATGAGGTTCCAGTGGCAGGCTCTACCCCCCGCCCCCCACAGAAAGAAAGAAAGAAAAATAGATATTAGACAAGCATTAAATATATTTAACCTAGAAGAAAAAGTAAAAGGACATTAACAGAAATTTTTGAAACGCAAACTAGTTGACACCGTGGGAAGCTGCATGATAGTCCAGAGAGAGAGAGAGAAAGAGAGAGAGGGAAATGCCGCCAAAGTAATAGAAGAGCCTGTGCGTCTAACCTGAAGATCGGAAGAGGCCAAAAAGGCCTACACCTTGTAGCTGATGATGATGATTATTATTAATGTAAGAGAGTGATAATTTGGCGAGTATTCTAAGCCTTATTGGCACCTGTGTTAGTCCTATTTGCCGGTCACGGCAGCCGAGCGGTCTGAGGCATGTATTGTCTTCGCTCGCTCGGAAGCCGGGATCGTGTGTTCGAATCCAATACAAAGCACGGATGTTTAGTGTATGTGTGCCTTTATTCTGTGTTTGTGTTGGCATGTGTTTAGGTAGAGGCCTTGCAGCGAGCTGATCACTTGTACCAGGAGTCCTACCGTCTGTAAAATAATTATGAAACGAAAAGCTAGAGGCCAGGGCCAAAAGGGGTCTGTAGCGCCAGTGAAAAAAAAAATAGTCCCAATTATTTCTCAAGTCGTCAGTGAGAGTGTTTTAATAATTACACAAGCCATTCAGCTCTTGTTCTCTGAAACCACTCAAGCGTATACTAGCTGTGCATAGTTTTGTTCATATTTTCTATCTGACGATAGGACCTGTACTATTGTGATAATTTGGTTAACAACTCGTTACTGTCATTTCTCAAAACCTGAAGTGTTTCGAGGTTAAGTCTCCTGTTTCTGTTACTACACGTGTCACACATATCATGCAATACGTATACTGTTGGCGCATATTCATTTTGTAAAGAATTCCCTTCAGTTCTCAGAATATGAGCCACTTTTTTTCTGAATGGACTTGCCACGTGTCACAGTGAAGGTCAGGCGAACAAAAGGATTTGTTAGTCCACCTGAAACAGATGAGTTTCAATCATCTACTTGGAGTTATATCCCAGAAGAGAAAACTTTTCATTTTTATCCTACTTCCCTTATTTTTTAAAATGAAAGAGGCGTATAAAATCATCTTGCTCTCTGTTTATCCTTCTGTGTCTGTCCATCTGTCTGTATAAGTTCTCTGATTTTTGTTAGGAAGTATATGAGATCACCTTGCTGTCTGTCTGTGTGTTCTCCCCTAATTTTTCGTCTTCTACACGTATGTTGTCTGGGTCGTATTAAGGAGGCTTATGAAATAACCTTGCTGTCGGTGTGTCTGTGTCCTCCTTAAATATTTGTTGTCTATGTGGTTTGTGTCGTATAAAAGGAAAGTGGTTTATTATTAGTCCTTCCCAGAAATTCTTGTCTTCTTGTGTCCCCAGAATCAAACATCTCTGTGCGTATTTATCATGTAGCTTATTTACTGAAAGTAACTAGACCTATAGGTCTATTTTTATTAAGGTTAACGTGAGGGCATGTGCCCTGTGATGCAACAAATATATATTGAAAATATTTGCTAGTAAGAAAACAACCGATTGTTTCCTCAGACAAGTTTATCTTCGGTCAGAAGCAAAGTCTGCCAATCACAGTGACCGCGCGGTCTGCAGCATGAACTGTCTTCGTCCACTCATACACTGGGACTTGGGTTCGAATCACAGTTGAGACATAGATGTCTATGTACCTTTATTCTGTGTTGATGGTCTGTGTGTAGGTAGCGGCCTTGATCCCACGCCCAAAGAGTCCTACCCACTGTGTACGAATTCAGAAAATGAAAGAGAGCTCAAGGTCTATCAAAGGGCTGTAGAGCCATAATAGAATGGCAGCAAAGTTTGTGTTTTGTACGGCGTACTCTTTTGTTACAATGGGAGTGCCACAGCGACTGCCTTATGCTTCACAAGTGCTACGTGTTGTGTAAATAGGTCTTCCCTTGTTCCCCTCAGCTCTCCTAGTATACACTGTTTGAAAACTGTTGTAAGAGTGTGGTTATAACTCGAAATTACAAAGGGCCTAATTACACATAATGAAGGGAATATCCAAGTGTTATCTGGCTGTCCAACTAGGCTAATTAACTAGCAAACTGACTACTATAACTAACTAGACAGATAAGCAATCAGCCGTTGAGAATCTGTATATCTATAACTTTACAGCCCTTTCTTAGGCCTTGGGCGCTTTTTCAGTTTCTTGATCTTTTACACAACTAGTAGGACTCCTTGGATGGGGGATCGGCCAATCGCAAGGCCGCTACCTGCACCCAGGACAGCACAA